GTGATGAAGAACCCACAACTTCTGGTGGCAAGTCGTTCCACTGATTAATTGTTCTCCTTGTCAGGAAATTCCTCCTTAGTTCTAAGTTGCTTCTCTCCTTGATTAGTTTCCATCCGTTGCTTCTGGTCCTGTCTTCATGGGGTTTGGAGAATAGCTTGACTCCCTCTTCTTTGGGGCAGCCCCTGAGATATTGGAAGACTGCTATCCTGTCACCCCTAGTCCTTCTTTTCATGAAGGGTTCCATGAAGAACCAGGGGAATTAAAACAATATAATAAATATTAGGGGCATCCATAGCAAATGTTCTAAGGCACTCTATAGAGTGGTGTTTCTCAACCGTAGGAATGTAAGATGTGTGGATTTAAACTCTCGGAATTCCCAAGTCAGTATTTTTTAAGCCGGGTGGACTTAAGCTTCCCATAATCATGCTGACTAGGAAATTTTGGGAGTTGAAATTCACTCATCTGAGAGTTGCCAGACTGGAAACACAGTGGTTCTATGTTCTTCTGGCTTGATTGTAAAACTTGTGAAACAAAAGGTGATTCTTATCAAAACTGATCTCTTAGAGTTTTACTTTTGGTTCTGTTTCCCGGAAGTTTTTTTTAAAAAAAAAACATCAAAGATTAGACATAAAAGTTATATTCGTACACTCCCCAAGCCAGTTTTCTGAACCATCTTTTACCGTATCTAAGTTGGAGTAGTTCAGACCACAATGGCTAATTTTACAGAACACGTGAAGATGGTCACCAACGAACTTTCCCCCAGAATTTGTAAATGTTCCAACACTGGAAGTTTTTAAGAAGAGGTTGGATAACCATTTGTCTGAAATGACTATGACTTATGACTATCATTAAGTGTTGTACCTGATGATTCTTGACTCTTGATGGATGTATCTTTTCTTTTATGAATACTGAGAGCATTTGCACCAAGACAAATTCCTTGTGTGGAATTTGGTCACGCTTGGTGGTCACGCTTGGCCAATAAAGAATTCTATATTCTATTCTATTCTATTCTGTTCTGTTCTGTTCTGTTCTGTTCTGTTCTATTCTATTGGATTTCCTGCCTAAGCAGGGGGTTGGACTAGAAGACCTCCATGGCCCCTTCCAACTCTGTTTATTCTAATTCTAATTCTATTCTATTCTAAACATGCAGTGATAAAGTGGCAGGACTGCTCCCTCCGAGCAAAGCCTCACATAGAGACTTTTCAGTTTTGGAAGAGATGCAGAGCTTTCTTGGAGACTGAAGGAAAGATGCATTTTTATTTCAGAGAATCCTAAAGCACTCACAGAGTCTCAGAAATGAGATTTTCTCTTGCAAATTAATTCTAATGCAGGGGATGGGATTGAATGCAGAAATCCTTAGGTTGGTCTGCCCCCTGGTGGCCAAAGGAAATATTGCGGCTTCTATAAAAGTGGAAAATACCAATTATTTTACCATTTGGTAGATTGATATCCTGAATTTTTTTCTTCCAGGGCTTGGCGGTGGCATACACTGTATTTTCTATCTTTCTGCCCATTTCTCTGTAACAGCAGAGGTAGGTCAGACAGGGCCAAGAAAGAGAGTTCAGTCCAAAGTCTCCAAGTAAGATTTCTGTGGCTGAAAGCAAATCTCCTGATCCTGTTAAGAATCTGAATCAAACATGAGATTGCTTTTTTCTTTATTGGTAGTCCTCAACCTATGACCCCAGTTGGGACCAGCAACGCTGACCAGGGAATTCTGGGAGATGAAGTCCACACCTCTTAAAGGGGCCCAGGCTGAAAAACGCTGCTCTATTTAAACACCTCCAGCTTTTCCCACTGGGAATTTCCCCAATTACCAGCTGAAATCTACCTGGCATTTAAACCCTTATTTTTCCATCCCACCTTTTAGAAATACAGCAATTCCTCCCTGCCTTCTGCATGCCAAAGATCCTCAAAGGCAGTTGCAGGCAGTCCTCGACTTACAATGGTTCGTTTAGTGACCAACGGCACTGAAAAAAAGTGACTTATGACCGTTTTTCACACGTACCACCATTGCAGCACCCTCATGGTCACGTGATCAGAATCCAGACTTTTGCCAACTGGTTCGTACTTATTGACCGTTGCACAATCTCCTTTTGCGACCTTCTGACAAAGAAAATCTATGGGGAAGCCAGATTCACTTAATGACCGTGTGACTAACAGCTGCGGTGATTCCCTTAACCGTAGCAAGAAAGGTCGTAAAATGGGGCAAAATTCACTTAGATTTGGGGCTCAATTGTTGTTGTAAGCTGAGGACTACTTGTGTACTACGTCTTCTCCAGCCTTCCAGTTAGTCCTTGGTCATCGTGGCTGTTCACTTTTGAGGTATCCGCAGGTAGACCATCCTGTCATCCAAACTACCATTTATGTTTCTTTTTCTTTGAAGACATTTTGCTTTTCATCCAAGAAGCTTCTTCAGCTCTGACAGATAGTGGGAAATGGAAGGATTTATATTCCTTGCAGACAGCTGGTCATTTGCATCCTTTTAGACGGTCGTTGAGGCCACTTTGGAAGTTTATCTTTGGTATATAGAGCGGTCACGTGATCAAAACTCAAAGACACTTGGAAACTGACTTGTACTTACGACAGTTGGTGTGCTGGGGCCGTGTGATCAACTTTTGTAACTTTCTGGTGAGCAAAATCAAGAGGCAAGCCAGATTCATTTTAACAACCAAAGTTACTTACTTAACGACTGCAGTGATTCACTTAGCAACTGTGGCAAATAGGTCATAGAATGGGGCAAAAGTCAACAACAGTCTCATTTAGCAACAGAAAGTTTGGCCTCCATTGTGGTTGTAAGGACCGCTCGCAGTTAAGCGGCGTGTCAGTCCGGATTTTAAGGGGGGTTTTAAACCTCACGATCAGCAAATATAGTTTTAAGGAGCAACGTAAAAATTAGAAAACGTGCTCTTCTCTAACCTGGAGTTTTCTGCTGAGGCAAAGAATTTGAGGGTAGTGTCTGTGATGACCCAAAGGGGCGTGGCACAAAAATCAATGAAATCACAAAAGTAGATCAAGTCCCTTTAATTCCTCCAAGTTGGCCCCCAATGTCCAGTTATCATCAGCTGGAGAAAAAAACTCTCCCAAGAACAGTTTTTAAAGAGAAGAAATTACGTTCGAACCCAAAGTACATATAAATTATAAATAAAAACCAACACAAACCACTGCTGCAGCAATTAATGAGACAGGGCAGGATAAGGAATTGCAGACTTCGAAAGATAATGAAACACACAGTTGGGAGGACACCAGAACCCAGGTAAGACTTAACAAACCAAAATAATTCATGCTTTGCTTCCAGCAAGGTGCTGTGTGCAAACACCCTTTTAAAATCCTGTTTTCCCAGCTGCAGCTAATGAAGGGAATCAGGGCCCTTTTCTCCCCCGTAACCCACGTTGCTCCCTTCTCTGTTCCTGTGTGCCCTAGGATGAAGAAGGGGTGGACCTGCGTCTTCCTCTGAAGGCCCAACCAGACTGTGCCCTTCCCCAGTTTCCTCCACAGCCACCGGAGCCACACTCCCACTCCCTGTCAACTGCTCAACCTCCTCCTCGGAATCAGATTCCGACAGGGGTATGACAGGGTTAGAATTCTGTTGTGGAATCAAAACATGGTGAACAGATGATTTCCCTTCTATGCTGAGGTGACACTTATACTCCAGAAGCTGGACAAAATAAGATGTGCAGTTGGGCTACAGGTAGTCCTCGCTTAATGACTGGTCACCTAATGACCATTCAGTTACAAACCCCCATAAACCTATCTTCTAAGTTATGACTGCTGCATCCTAGCCACCACGGTCACATTATTGCATTTTGGATAGCAATAGAAATAACACTTATATACTGTTTCACAGTGCTTTGCAACCCTCCCTTAAGCAGTTTAACAGAGTCAGCATAACCCCCCCCCCCCCAACAATCTGGTTCCTCATTTTACCGACCTCGGAAAAATGGAAGGCTGAGTCAACATGGAGCTGAGTCAAGATTGAACTCCTGGCAGTGGGCAGAATTTGTTTGCAATAGCACTAGCACAAACTTATATACCACTTCATAGTGCTTTACAGCCTCTCTAAGCAGCTTAGAGTCAGCCTATTGCCCACAAATACCAGGTCCTCAGAAGGATGGAAGGCGGAGTCAACCTTGAGCCGATGAGAGTCAAACTGCTGACAGTCAGCAGAATTCACCTGCAATACTGCATTCTAATCCCTGGGCCACCACGGTTCTTTTTCATGGTTGCAGTCTCCCACAGTCAACATTTGTGACTTTTTTCTTGGTTTCTGGCCAAAAAAACAAACAAAAAAAAACGCCCCTAATGTATTTAGCTAACAACTCTGTGGTTTGCTTAACAGCCACAGATACGCTCAGTGACCATGGTGACTTGCTTTATCCTTTTTGTAAACCAGTCATAAAATTTAATCCGGTCATGTGGTGTCCCGCTTAATGACGCCAACGACTTACAGGCAGCGCGCTCAACTTAGGTGACAATTCTGGTTTAGACATTTCTGTTGTTAAGAGGAAATTTGTTCAGTGAGTTTTGCCCCGTTTTACAATTTTTCTTGCTACCATCGCGAAGTGGATCACCGCAATTGTTAAGCTAGTAACTTGGTTGTGAAGTGAATCTGGCTTCCCCATTGACTCTGCTTGTCAGAAAGCCGCAAAAGGGGATCACGCGACCCCAGGATGTGGCAACGGTCATAAGTAGGAACCAGCTGCCAAGCGTCTGACTTTTGATCACATGTTCAGAGGGATACTGCAAAGGTCATAAGTGTGAAAAACTAAAACAAGTCCTTTTTTCAGTGCTGTCGTAACTTCGAACAGTCACTAAATGAACGGCTGTTAAATCAAGGACCCCTGCACTTCCAAAATTTCAGGCTCAATTTGCGGTCGTTAAAGTTACAACCTAAACTCTGGAGCCAAAATCAGAGCGAAAGAGATAATCTCTGACACAGGGGAGAATGTTTTTGAAAAATGTTTTTGCGTTTGAAGAAAAGCAATTAGATTTGGACACACATGGATGGTGAAAGGTTTTGTTTGTTTGTTTTTAATGCTCTAATCCCAAAACTGCTACATAGGTTGCAGCACAGATTAAAAGCCAAGCTTAGAAATTGCGACAGAGAAGCGGAGTACAAAATCTACATTCCCGTTTCTTTAAGAAAAAGACATTTTTTTCCACTCCCAGGTTTTAAAGGGCACGTTTGTCCTGTATTCGGAGGGGGCTCTGCTTACCTTTAAAAATAAAAATAATTTAGGGAGAGGGTGGAAAAAGGAAACTAAATCCCATTTTTCTCCAGCTGACAGCCAGTGACCAAAGGCCCTTGTAAATGAGAGAGGTCAAGTAACCAAAGGATGTTTTTGCCAAAGCAGATATTTTCAACACTGGTGCCAAAGTTTTCTAGGACGGCGTTCCTATTTAAGGAAGTTGTATCCTGAGGTAATATGATGGGCAGAGGTATTTCTAGACTGGCCACAAAGATTGCTATTTTTAAAAAAAAAACCAAATGCTGAAAAAGTTTGATCTATTCACATTAAGACAGGCAAACCTGAAATCTAATGTTTATATATATTCGGATTTATCAACAAGGAAGAAAGCAAAAAATAATTATCTTTTTATTTCTTGCACCAATATCCAAATTTCCCCGTTATTAATCCTCTTTTCCATCCGGGCTCATGAGGATGGAATTTGTTTTAAAACACTTGACTGACATATAGAGGTCTGGTGCAGCTATTATGGCCTCGTACAATAAACTAGCCAAACTATGCTGACCCTACAGATGCATCTAATCGCAAAACTATTGCCACGTTCGAGATCAGGGTTTGTCAATCTTGGCCATTTGAAGATGGGTGGACTTCAACTCCCAGAATCCCGGAATTCTGGGAGTTGAAGTCCACTTAACTTCAAGTGGCCAACGTTCAGGGATAACCATTCTCGATTTGAGATTAGAACAAGCACACAGATGTAGGAAGTGTTTAATACAAGGCTGGTTTTTGCAACTTTTAAGACTGGTGGACTTCAACTCCCAGAATCCCTCAGTCAGCATCCCGGAATTCTGGGAGTTGAAGTCCACTTAACTTCAAGTGGCCAAGGTTGAGGGATAACCATTCTAGATTTGAGATTCGAACAAGCACACGGATGTAGGAAGTCTCTAATAATGGAAGGCTGTCCGGTTTTTGCCACTGTTAAGACCGGTGGCCTTCAAATCCCAGAATCCCTCAGTCAGCATCCTGGAATTCTGGGAACTGAAGTCCACCAGTCTTAAAGTTGCCACGGTTGGACACTCCATGTCTAATAATGTATTAGTGCTTGGGAGATCCTGCCCTAACTCACTAGGCACAGCTACTAATTCGACAAAAATACAACAACAACAGTTGTTCTCCACAGGAAGCCACCTGTCATATATCCAAGGAGGACTTTACTGGCCATAGACCCCCTATTTAGAGTGGTTGCCTCAGGTGCTGTTGCCCATCGCTTTCCCACTCACAGAGAAGTTCGAGGGGGTGTCATCGCACGTCTTTCAACACTAACAGCTCGGCTGGAGCTTTTCACGTTGTCTCCCACCCCCAAAAGGGATTCCAGGTCTCTACGGTGAGGAGATGACCACTCAAACCAAGCTATTTACAAAGGAGGAGAGAGAGAGAGACAGAGTCAACCCAGCCATTGTGGGCCGTGGCGTGACTTTCTAAGAACGAGGTCATTGGAACCAAGTTGTCGGGTTGTAATTGTGCGACGGCGGGTGGACGTTGGCTGTAAAAAAAACCCACTCCACTCCGAGGGGAGGGTGGATCCTCTCCTTGGGTTCGGTTGGGTCTCTTCTGATCCCTCCTCCGAAAAACAATGGGGGCAGCTCTGCCTGGCTTCATGCCGGATAGTTGTGGAGGAATTCCTTCAGCTTGGTGGGGTAGTCGGTCATCACGCCGGTGGCCCCCAGGTCGAAGGCTCGCTTGTATTCCTGGTCTTCGTTCAGCACCCAGATGTAGACCTGGAAGGAAACAGCTGGGCATCATCTAACCATCCTTTGAAATCCCCCGTTCACCCCAAAAAACACGATTTTTCAACCTCACTGCCTTCCCAGAGGAAATCTCACTGCTTGTGGGGACAACTGCTTTAGTTCATATGTGTTGTGTACGTATTATCTATCTATCTATCTATCTATCTATCTATCTATCTATCTATCTAT